CCACTGAGCTGCTCGAATCCAAAATCATTGAGAGAACCTTTACAAAGATCTAAGCGCTGGTAAAGTAACAGTGACTGAAGTAAGTGAAATGAACTCGGTGCGCAAGTACCTTGAGGGGACCAACAGTATTGCAGGAGTGTACCTGCAGTCCACCAAAGAGACCCTGAGCATCTATGAAGCCAAAAGCCGTGGCCTGTTGACCCCTGGTACTTCTCTGGTTCTGCTGGAGGCGCAAGCTGCCACTGGGTTTGTCATTGACCCAGTCAAAAACAAGAAACTTTCTGTAGAGGAAGCTGCAGCTCAAAGAGTAGTTGGCAATGAGTGGAAAAACAAACTGCTTTCAGCAGAAAGGGCAGTCATAGGATACAAAGATCCATACACAGGATCTACAATATCTTTGTTCCAGGCCTTGAAAAAAGACCTCATTGTCAAGGATCATGGAATTCGCCTCCTTGAAGCACAAATTGCCACTGGAGGCATAATTGACCCAGTGCACAGTCACAGAGTTCCTGTACAGGTGGCATACCAAAGAGGCTACTTTGATGAGGAAATGAATCAGATTCTGTCTGATCCTGATGATGACACCAAGGGCTTCTTTGATCCCAACACTCAAGAAAACCTCACATATCTCCAACTGGTGGAGAGGTGTATTACAGATCCCATCACAGGCCTTAGCTTATTGGTCATTGTAAAGAAAGGAGAGTATTACTTCTTTGTTGATGAGGCAACCAAACTCATTCTAAAATCTACAACAACAACACGAGCAGGAGGGCAATACCAAGGAACCACAGTGTCTCTGTGGGACCTGCTCTACTCCAAATACATCACTGAGGAAAAAAGGAGAGAGCTGGTACAACAATTCAAGTCTGGATCAATTACAGTTGAACGTTTTCTGGAAATCATCCTAACAATCATTGAGCAACGGACAACAACAACAACCTCATCTTCATCATCATCAATTGTCATGTGCACACCACCTGAGACAAAAGTGGACAGCAGCACAACAACTAAGATAACAACTACAACAACAGAGACACAGAGTTTTCATGGAATTAGAAAGGACGTCACTGCCACTGAGCTGCTCGAATCCAAAATCATTGATGAGAACCTTTACAAAGATCTAAGCGCTGGTAAAGTAACAGTGACTGAAGTAAGTGAAATGAACTCGGTGCGCAAGTACCTTGAGGGGACCAACAGTATTGCAGGAGTGTACCTGCAGTCCACCAAAGAGACCCTGAGCATCTATGAAGCCAAAAGCCGTGGCCTGTTGACCCCTGGTACTTCTCTGGTTCTGCTGGAGGCGCAAGCTGCCACTGGGTTTGTCATTGACCCAGTCAAAAACAAGAAACTTTCTGTGGAGGAAGCTGCAGCTCAAAGAGTAGTTGGCAATGAGTGGAAAAACAAACTGCTTTCAGCAGAAAGGGCAGTCATAGGATACAAAGATCCATACACAGGATCTACAATATCTTTGTTCCAGGCCTTGAAAAAAGACCTCATTGTCAAGGATCATGGAATTCGCCTCCTTGAAGCACAAATTGCCACTGGAGGCATAATTGACCCAGTGCACAGTCACAGAGTTCCTGTACAGGTGGCATACCAAAGAGGTTACTTTGATGAGGAAATGAATCAGATTCTGTCTGATCCTGATGATGACACCAAGGGCTTCTTTGATCCCAACACTCAAGAAAACCTCACATATCTCCAACTGGTGGAGAGGTGTATTACAGATCCCATCACAGGCCTTAGCTTATTGGTCATTGTAAAGAAAGGAGAGTATTACTTCTTTGTTGATGAGGCAACCAAACTCATTCTAAAATCTACAACAACAACACGAGCAGGAGGGCAATACCAAGGAACCACAGTGTCTCTGTGGGACCTGCTCTACTCCAAATACATCACTGAGGAAAAAAGGAGAGAGCTGGTACAACAATTCAAGTCTGGATCAATTACAGTTGAACGTTTTCTGGAAATCATCCTAACAATCATTGAGCAACGGACAACAACAACAACCTCATCTTCATCATCATCAATTGTCATGTGCACACCACCTGAGACAAAAGTGGACAGCAGCACAACAACTAAGATAACAACTACAACAACAGAGACACAGAGTTTTCATGGAATTAGAAAGGACGTCACTGCCACTGAGCTGCTCGAATCCAAAATCATTGATGAGAACCTTTACAAAGATCTAAGCGCTGGTAAAGTAACAGTGACTGAAGTAAGTGAAATGAACTCGGTGCGCAAGTACCTTGAGGGGACCAACAGTATTGCAGGAGTGTACCTGCAGTCCACCAAAGAGACCCTGAGCATCTATGAAGCCAAAAGCCGTGGCCTGTTGACCCCTGGTACTTCTCTGGTTCTGCTGGAGGCGCAAGCTGCCACTGGGTTTGTCATTGACCCAGTCAAAAACAAGAAACTTTCTGTAGAGGAAGCTGCAGCTCAAAGAGTAGTTGGCAATGAGTGGAAAAACAAACTGCTTTCAGCAGAAAGGGCAGTCATAGGATACAAAGATCCATACACAGGATCTACAATATCTTTGTTCCAGGCCTTGAAAAAAGACCTCATTGTCAAGGATCATGGAATTCGCCTCCTTGAAGCACAAATTGCCACTGGAGGCATAATTGACCCAGTGCACAGTCACAGAGTTCCTGTACAGGTGGCATACCAAAGAGGTTACTTTGATGAGGAAATGAATCAGATTCTGTCTGATCCTGATGATGACACCAAGGGCTTCTTTGATCCCAACACTCAAGAAAACCTCACATATCTCCAACTGGTGGAGAGGTGTATTACAGATCCCATCACAGGCCTTAGCTTATTGGTCATTGTAAAGAAAGGAGAGTATTACTTCTTTGTTGATGAGGCAACCAAACTCATTCTAAAATCTACAACAACAACACGAGCAGGAGGGCAATACCAAGGAACCACAGTGTCTCTGTGGGACCTGCTCTACTCCAAATACATCACTGAGGAAAAAAGGAGAGAGCTGTACAACAATTCAAGTCTGGATCAATTACAGTTGAACGTTTTCTGGAAATCATCCTAACAATCATTGAGCAACGGACAACAACAACAACCTCATCTTCATCATCATCAATTGTCATGTGCACACCACCTGAGACAAAAGTGGACAGCAGCACAACAACTAAGATAACAACTACAACAACAGAGACACGTGAAGCTCAGAGTTTTCATGGAATTAGAAAGGACGTCACTGCCACTGAGCTGCTCGAATCCAAAATCATTGATGAGAACCTTTACAAAGATCTAAGCGCTGGTAAAGTAACAGTGACTGAAGTAAGTGAAATGAACTCGGTGCGCAAGTACCTTGAGGGGACCAACAGTATTGCAGGAGTGTACCTGCAGTCCACCAAAGAGACCCTGAGCATCTATGAAGCCAAAAGCCGTGGCCTGTTGACTCCTGGTACTTCTCTGGTTCTGCTGGAGGCGCAAGCTGCCACTGGGTTTGTCATTGACCCAGTCAAAAACAAGAAACTTTCTGTGGAGGAAGCTGCAGCTCAAAGAGTAGTTGGCAATGAGTGGAAAAACAAACTGCTTTCAGCAGAAAGGGCAGTCATAGGATACAAAGATCCGTACACAGGATCTATAATATCTTTGTTCCAGGCCTTGAAAAAAGATCTCATTGTCAAGGATCATGGAATTCGCCTTCTTGAAGCACAAATTGCCACTGGAGGCATAATTGACCCAGTGCACAGTCACAGAGTTCCTGTACAGGTGGCATACCAAAGAGGTTACTTTGATGAGGAAATGAATCAGATTCTGTCTGATCCTGATGATGACACCAAGGGCTTCTTTGATCCCAACACTCAAGAAAACCTCACATATCTCCAACTGGTGGAGAGGTGTATTACAGATCCCATCACAGGCCTTAGCTTATTGGTCATTGTAAAGAAAGGAGAGTATTACTTCTTTGTTGATGAGGCAACCAAACTCATTCTAAAATCTACAACAACAACACGAGCAGGAGGGCAATACCAAGGAACCACAGTGTCTCTGTGGGACCTGCTCTACTCCAAATACATCACTGAGGAAAAAAGGAGAGAGCTGTACAACAATTCAAGTCTGGATCAATTACAGTTGAACGTTTTCTGGAAATCATCCTAACAATCATTGAGCAACGGACAACAACAACAACCTCATCTTCATCATCATCAATTGTCATGTGCACACCACCTGAGACAAAAGTGGACAGCAGCACAACAACTAAGATAACAACTACAACAACAGAGACACAGAGTTTTCATGGAATTAGAAAGGACGTCACTGCCACTGAGCTGCTCGAATCCAAAATCATTGATGAGAACCTTTACAAAGATCTAAGCGCTGGTAAAGTAACAGTGACTGAAGTAAGTGAAATGAACTCGGTGCGCAAGTACCTTGAGGGGACCAACAGTATTGCAGGAGTGTACCTGCAGTCCACCAAAGAGACCCTGAGCATCTATGAAGCCAAAAGCCGTGGCCTGTTGACTCCTGGTACTTCTCTGGTTCTGCTGGAGGCGCAAGCTGCCACTGGGTTTGTCATTGACCCAGTCAAAAACAAGAAACTTTCTGTGGAGGAAGCTGCAGCTCAAAGAGTAGTTGGCAATGAGTGGAAAAACAAACTGCTTTCAGCAGAAAGGGCAGTCATAGGATACAAAGATCCGTACACAGGATCTATAATATCTTTGTTCCAGGCCTTGAAAAAAGATCTCATTGTCAAGGATCATGGAATTCGCCTTCTTGAAGCACAAATTGCCACTGGAGGCATAATTGACCCAGTGCACAGTCACAGAGTTCCTGTACAGGTGGCATACCAAAGAGGTTACTTTGATGAGGAAATGAATCAGATTCTGTCTGATCCTGATGATGACACCAAGGGCTTCTTTGATCCCAACACTCAAGAAAACCTCACATATCTCCAACTGGTGGAGAGGTGTATTACAGATCCCATCACAGGCCTTAGCTTATTGGTCATTGTAAAGAAAGGAGAGTATTACTTCTTTGTTGATGAGGCAACCAAACTCATTCTAAAATCTACAACAACAACACGAGCAGGAGGGCAATACCAAGGAACCACAGTGTCTCTGTGGGACCTGCTCTACTCCAAATACATCACTGAGGAAAAAAGGAGAGAGCTGTACAACAATTCAAGTCTGGATCAATTACAGTTGAACGTTTTCTGGAAATCATCCTAACAATCATTGAGCAACGGACAACAACAACAACCTCATCTTCATCATCATCAATTGTCATGTGCACACCACCTGAGACAAAAGTGGACAGCAGCACAACAACTAAGATAACAACTACAACAACAGAGACACGTGAAGCTCAGAGTTTTCATGGAATTAGAAAGGACGTCACTGCCACTGAGCTGCTCGAATCCAAAATCATTGATGAGAACCTTTACAAAGATCTAAGCGCTGGTAAAGTAACAGTGACTGAAGTAAGTGAAATGAACTCGGTGCGCAAGTACCTTGAGGGGACCAACAGTATTGCAGGAGTGTACCTGCAGTCCACCAAAGAGACCCTGAGCATCTATGAAGCCAAAAGCCGTGGCCTGTTGACTCCTGGTACTTCTCTGGTTCTGCTGGAGGCGCAAGCTGCCACTGGGTTTGTCATTGACCCAGTCAAAAACAAGAAACTTTCTGTGGAGGAAGCTGCAGCTCAAAGAGTAGTTGGCAATGAGTGGAAAAACAAACTGCTTTCAGCAGAAAGGGCAGTCATAGGATACAAAGATCCGTACACAGGATCTATAATATCTTTGTTCCAGGCCTTGAAAAAAGATCTCATTGTCAAGGATCATGGAATTCGCCTTCTTGAAGCACAAATTGCCACTGGAGGCATAATTGACCCAGTGCACAGTCACAGAGTTCCTGTACAGGTGGCATACCAAAGAGGTTACTTTGATGAGGAAATGAATCAGATTCTGTCTGATCCTGATGATGACACCAAGGGCTTCTTTGATCCCAACACTCAAGAAAACCTCACATATCTCCAACTGGTGGAGAGGTGTATTACAGATCCCATCACAGGCCTTAGCTTATTGGTCATTGTAAAGAAAGGAGAGTATTACTTCTTTGTTGATGAGGCAACCAAACTCATTCTAAAATCTACAACAACAACACGAGCAGGAGGGCAATACCAAGGAACCACAGTGTCTCTGTGGGACCTGCTCTACTCCAAATACATCACTGAGGAAAAAAGGAGAGAGCTGGTACAACAATTCAAGTCTGGATCAATTACAGTTGAACGTTTTCTGGAAATCATCCTAACAATCATTGAGCAACGGACAACAACAACAACCTCATCTTCATCATCATCAATTGTCATGTGCACACCACCTGAGACAAAAGTGGACAGCAGCACAACAACTAAGATAACAACTACAACAACAGAGACACGTGAAGCTCAGAGTTTTCATGGAATTAGAAAGGACGTCACTGCCACTGAGCTGCTCGAATCCAAAATCATTGATGAGAACCTTTACAAAGATCTAAGCGCTGGTAAAGTAACAGTGACTGAAGTAAGTGAAATGAACTCGGTGCGCAAGTACCTTGAGGGGACCAACAGTATTGCAGGAGTGTACCTGCAGTCCACCAAAGAGACCCTGAGCATCTATGAAGCCAAAAGCCGTGGCCTGTTGACTCCTGGTACTTCTCTGGTTCTGCTGGAGGCGCAAGCTGCCACTGGGTTTGTCATTGACCCAGTCAAAAACAAGAAACTTTCTGTGGAGGAAGCTGCAGCTCAAAGAGTAGTTGGCAATGAGTGGAAAAACAAACTGCTTTCAGCAGAAAGGGCAGTCATAGGATACAAAGATCCGTACACAGGATCTATAATATCTTTGTTCCAGGCCTTGAAAAAAGATCTCATTGTCAAGGATCATGGAATTCGCCTTCTTGAAGCACAAATTGCCACTGGAGGCATAATTGACCCAGTGCACAGTCACAGAGTTCCTGTACAGGTGGCATACCAAAGAGGTTACTTTGATGAGGAAATGAATCAGATTCTGTCTGATCCTGATGATGACACCAAGGGCTTCTTTGATCCCAACACTCAAGAAAACCTCACATATCTCCAACTGGTGGAGAGGTGTATTACAGATCCCATCACAGGCCTTAGCTTATTGGTCATTGTAAAGAAAGGAGAGTATTACTTCTTTGTTGATGAGGCAACCAAACTCATTCTAAAATCTACAACAACAACACGAGCAGGAGGGCAATACCAAGGAACCACAGTGTCTCTGTGGGACCTGCTCTACTCCAAATACATCACTGAGGAAAAAAGGAGAGAGCTGTACAACAATTCAAGTCTGGATCAATTACAGTTGAACGTTTTCTGGAAATCATCCTAACAATCATTGAGCAACGGACAACAACAACAACCTCATCTTCATCATCATCAATTGTCATGTGCACACCACCTGAGACAAAAGTGGACAGCAGCACAACAACTAAGATAACAACTACAACAACAGAGACACGTGAAGCTCAGAGTTTTCATGGAATTAGAAAGGACGTCACTGCCACTGAGCTGCTCGAATCCAAAATCATTGATGAGAACCTTTACAAAGATCTAAGCGCTGGTAAAGTAACAGTGACTGAAGTAAGTGAAATGAACTCGGTGCGCAAGTACCTTGAGGGGACCAACAGTATTGCAGGAGTGTACCTGCAGTCCACCAAAGAGACCCTGAGCATCTATGAAGCCAAAAGCCGTGGCCTGTTGACTCCTGGTACTTCTCTGGTTCTGCTGGAGGCGCAAGCTGCCACTGGGTTTGTCATTGACCCAGTCAAAAACAAGAAACTTTCTGTGGAGGAAGCTGCAGCTCAAAGAGTAGTTGGCAATGAGTGGAAAAACAAACTGCTTTCAGCAGAAAGGGCAGTCATAGGATACAAAGATCCGTACACAGGATCTATAATATCTTTGTTCCAGGCCTTGAAAAAAGATCTCATTGTCAAGGATCATGGAATTCGCCTTCTTGAAGCACAAATTGCCACTGGAGGCATAATTGACCCAGTGCACAGTCACAGAGTTCCTGTACAGGTGGCATACCAAAGAGGTTACTTTGATGAGGAAATGAATCAGATTCTGTCTGATCCTGATGATGACACCAAGGGCTTCTTTGATCCCAACACTCAAGAAAACCTCACATATCTCCAACTGGTGGAGAGGTGTATTACAGATCCCATCACAGGCCTTAGCTTATTGGTCATTGTAAAGAAAGGAGAGTATTACTTCTTTGTTGATGAGGCAACCAAACTCATTCTAAAATCTACAACAACAACACGAGCAGGAGGGCAATACCAAGGAACCACAGTGTCTCTGTGGGACCTGCTCTACTCCAAATACATCACTGAGGAAAAAAGGAGAGAGCTGTACAACAATTCAAGTCTGGATCAATTACAGTTGAACGTTTTCTGGAAATCATCCTAACAATCATTGAGCAACGGACAACAACAACAACCTCATCTTCATCATCATCAATTGTCATGTGCACACCACCTGAGACAAAAGTGGACAGCAGCACAACAACTAAGATAACAACTACAACAACAGAGACACGTGAAGCTCAGAGTTTTCATGGAATTAGAAAGGACGTCACTGCCACTGAGCTGCTCGAATCCAAAATCATTGATGAGAACCTTTACAAAGATCTAAGCGCTGGTAAAGTAACAGTGACTGAAGTAAGTGAAATGAACTCGGTGCGCAAGTACCTTGAGGGGACCAACAGTATTGCAGGAGTGTACCTGCAGTCCACCAAAGAGACCCTGAGCATCTATGAAGCCAAAAGCCGTGGCCTGTTGACTCCTGGTACTTCTCTGGTTCTGCTGGAGGCGCAAGCTGCCACTGGGTTTGTCATTGACCCAGTCAAAAACAAGAAACTTTCTGTGGAGGAAGCTGCAGCTCAAAGAGTAGTTGGCAATGAGTGGAAAAACAAACTGCTTTCAGCAGAAAGGGCAGTCATAGGATACAAAGATCCGTACACAGGATCTATAATATCTTTGTTCCAGGCCTTGAAAAAAGATCTCATTGTCAAGGATCATGGAATTCGCCTTCTTGAAGCACAAATTGCCACTGGAGGCATAATTGACCCAGTGCACAGTCACAGAGTTCCTGTACAGGTGGCATACCAAAGAGGTTACTTTGATGAGGAAATGAATCAGATTCTGTCTGATCCTGATGATGACACCAAGGGCTTCTTTGATCCCAACACTCAAGAAAACCTCACATATCTCCAACTGGTGGAGAGGTGTATTACAGATCCCATCACAGGCCTTAGCTTATTGGTCATTGTAAAGAAAGGAGAGTATTACTTCTTTGTTGATGAGGCAACCAAACTCATTCTAAAATCTACAACAACAACACGAGCAGGAGGGCAATACCAAGGAACCACAGTGTCTCTGTGGGACCTGCTCTACTCCAAATACATCACTGAGGAAAAAAGGAGAGAGCTGGTACAACAATTCAAGTCTGGATCAATTACAGTTGAACGTTTTCTGGAAATCATCCTAACAATCATTGAGCAACGGACAACAACAACAACAACAACCTCATCTTCATCATCATCAATTGTCATGTGCACACCACCTGAGACAAAAGTGGACAGCAGCACAACAACTAAGATAACAACTACAACAACAGAGACACGTGAAGCTCAGAGTTTTCATGGAATTAGAAAGGACGTCACTGCCACTGAGCTGCTCGAATCCAAAATCATTGATGAGAACCTTTACAAAGATCTAAGCGCTGGTAAAGTAACAGTGACTGAAGTAAGTGAAATGAACTCGGTGCGCAAGTACCTTGAGGGACCAACAGTATTGCAGGAGTGTACCTGCAGTCCACCAAAGAGACCCTGAGCATCTATGAAGCCAAAAGCCGTGGCCTGTTGACTCCTGGTACTTCTCTGGTTCTGCTGGAGGCGCAAGCTGCCACTGGGTTTGTCATTGACCCAGTCAAAAACAAGAAACTTTCTGTGGAGGAAGCTGCAGCTCAAAGAGTAGTTGGCAATGAGTGGAAAAACAAACTGCTTTCAGCAGAAAGGGCAGTCATAGGATACAAAGATCCGTACACAGGATCTATAATATCTTTGTTCCAGGCCTTGAAAAAAGATCTCATTGTCAAGGATCATGGAATTCGCCTTCTTGAAGCACAAATTGCCACTGGAGGCATAATTGACCCAGTGCACAGTCACAGAGTTCCTGTACAGGTGGCATACCAAAGAGGTTACTTTGATGAGGAAATGAATCAGATTCTGTCTGATCCTGATGATGACACCAAGGGCTTCTTTGATCCCAACACTCAAGAAAACCTCACATATCTCCAACTGGTGGAGAGGTGTATTACAGATCCCATCACAGGCCTTAGCTTATTGGTCATTGTAAAGAAAGGAGAGTATTACTTCTTTGTTGATGAGGCAACCAAACTCATTCTAAAATCTACAACAACAACACGAGCAGGAGGGCAATACCAAGGAACCACAGTGTCTCTGTGGGACCTGCTCTACTCCAAATACATCACTGAGGAAAAAAGGAGAGAGCTGTACAACAATTCAAGTCTGGATCAATTACAGTTGAACGTTTTCTGGAAATCATCCTAACAATCATTGAGCAACGGACAACAACAACAACAACAACCTCATCTTCATCATCATCAATTGTCATGTGCACACCACCTGAGACAAAAGTGGACAGCAGCACAACAACTAAGATAACAACTACAACAACAGAGACACGTGAAGCTCAGAGTTTTCATGGAATTAGAAAGGACGTCACTGCCACTGAGCTGCTCGAATCCAAAATCATTGATGAGAACCTTTACAAAGATCTAAGCGCTGGTAAAGTAACAGTGACTGAAGTAAGTGAAATGAACTCGGTGCGCAAGTACCTTGAGGGGACCAACAGTATTGCAGGAGTGTACCTGCAGTCCACCAAAGAGACCCTGAGCATCTATGAAGCCAAAAGCCGTGGCCTGTTGACTCCTGGTACTTCTCTGGTTCTGCTGGAGGCGCAAGCTGCCACTGGGTTTGTCATTGACCCAGTCAAAAACAAGAAACTTTCTGTGGAGGAAGCTGCAGCTCAAAGAGTAGTTGGCAATGAGTGGAAAAACAAACTGCTTTCAGCAGAAAGGGCAGTCATAGGATACAAAGATCCGTACACAGGATCTATAATATCTTTGTTCCAGGCCTTGAAAAAAGATCTCATTGTCAAGGATCATGGAATTCGCCTTCTTGAAGCACAAATTGCCACTGGAGGCATAATTGACCCAGTGCACAGTCACAGAGTTCCTGTACAGGTGGCATACCAAAGAGGTTACTTTGATGAGGAAATGAATCAGATTCTGTCTGATCCTGATGATGACACCAAGGGCTTCTTTGATCCCAACACTCAAGAAAACCTCACATATCTCCAACTGGTGGAGAGGTGTATTACAGATCCCATCACAGGCCTTAGCTTATTGGTCATTGTAAAGAAAGGAGAGTATTACTTCTTTGTTGATGAGGCAACCAAACTCATTCTAAAATCTACAACAACAACACGAGCAGGAGGGCAATACCAAGGAACCACAGTGTCTCTGTGGGACCTGCTCTACTCCAAATACATCACTGAGGAAAAAAGGAGAGAGCTTGTACAACAATTCAAGTCTGGATCAATTACAGTTGAACGTTTTCTGGAAATCATCCTAACAATCATTGAGCAACGGACAACAACAACAACCTCATCTTCATCATCATCAATTGTCATGTGCACACCACCTGAGACAAAAGTGGACAGCAGCACAACAACTAAGATAACAACTACAACAACAGAGACACAGAGTTTTCATGGAATTAGAAAGGACGTCACTGCCACTGAGCTGCTCGAATCCAAAATCATTGATGAGAACCTTTACAAAGATCTAAGTGCTGGTAAAGTAACAGTGACTGAAGTAAGTGAAATGAACTCGGTGCGCAAGTACCTTGAGGGGACCAACAGTATTGCAGGAGTGTACCTGCAGTCCACCAAAGAGACCCTGAGCATCTATGAAGCCAAAAGCCGTGGCCTGTTGACTCCTGGTACTTCTCTGGTTCTGCTGGAGGCGCAAGCTGCCACTGGGTTTGTCATTGACCCAGTCAAAAACAAGAAACTTTCTGTGAAGGAAGCTGCAGCTCAAAGAGTAGTTGGCAATGAGTGGAAAAACAAACTGCTTTCAGCAGAAAGGGCAGTCATAGGATACAAAGATCCGTACACAGGATCTACAATATCTTTGTTCCAGGCCTTGAAAAAAGATCTCATTGTCAAGGATCATGGAATTCGCCTTCTTGAAGCACAAATTGCCACTGGAGGCATAATTGACCCAGTGCACAGTCACAGAGTTCCTGTACAGGTGGCATACCAAAGAGGTTACTTTGATGAGGAAATGAATCAGATTCTGTCTGATCCTGATGATGACACCAAGGGCTTCTTTGATCCCAACACTCAAGAAAACCTCACATATCTCGAACTGGTAGAGAGGTGTATCACAGATCCCATCACAGGCCTCTCTTTATTGCCATTGCACCGATAAAAGAAGGAATCCCTTGCTACAAAGATTCATGTCCTTTCCTTGCAACACCAAATTTTAGTAAGGACGAGACAGATTTGCAAGAAGCATTTTTTTCGATTCCTCTTTTTTACTTTTTCTTGGAAAACAAAACGAGTGAAAATAACATGCATACTGTTCTGTGCAAAATAGCTTTAACATTTAACATTAAGTAAAACGGTTGGGCTTTTGAATTTAGAGGTGTTTTGGATACAATTTCTGTTGAATATGAGTAAGACTGCAGACGTTGACTCATTTGAAGATGAACAATATTGTCACATTCTTACTCTACACTAAATCTTATTAGTTAAACCCGTCTTTGATATGTCCAAATTTTAACTGTGAAATTTGCCTTCTGATCTTTTACAAGTTTCCACTCATTTACCCCTCGTGACTTTTGAGGTTTTTTTGACAATTTTTTAAACATCTTTTTATCAACTGATTCTGATATTCTTAACTGTGGTATCCAATATTTTTGTGACTTGGGATCCTTATTTCACCTGTTTTAATATCTTTTCATTTTTATTGCACCAAATACTGATTCGACTGACTTTACACTACTGACCTACATTAAGGTTTAGTCAATTTTCCCTTGCTTGTATAGGCTGGAGTTATGTTTTACTTTTGGCAAAAGCTAAAATCTGTTTTTTGTTTTTTTTAATAAGTGAATAAGTAAATGTGACATCAATGAATAGAGTGGGCAATGCTTATATGTTTGTTTTCTGTACTTCTGACAAACCCTTGTTGGTAAAATTTTTGATTAAACATCTCCATAAAAAAATTATGTCTGAAAATCAAATGTTTGCCTTTTTTTTTAACCATTTTGCCAGATCAACTTTTTTAAAGGAACTTTACTACAATGGTCTTGATGTACAGTAGCCCGATACAACACATACTGTACAACTGGACTCTCTGAAAAATGAGCACCTTTTGGAAAAATATATTGAGCTTCTGAAGATCCCATTAAGTCTATGATTCAACAAAATTAGAAGGACAGCATCCTCTAGTGGAAGGTAATTAAACCTACTTAAATGTGTCATACTGATTTTTTTATTTTACTTCAGATATTTCTATAAAAATGCATTTGTTGGGAAAAACTAAGTTCGGGTGAAACAAAAAGCACAACGTACCTTTTAGATATCCTGGTATACACTTCTGAATAAATGTGATTCAGATAATTGCAACCCAACATCTCTGTCATTGTTACGCTCTTACCCACTGAGTGACATTAGAAGAGCAACATGTTTGGTTTCTGCCTTCTTCTAACAGTAAGGTTAGCTTTTATAGTATATTGTCTGTTTTGTGTTTAAGTGAGTGAGTGTATTTATAAAGCACCTTTCAAGGGCAGATGTCACAAAGTGCTTTACAATAAACAGTTCAAAAAGTAATTTAATATAGACAATTACATGAAAGCAGACATAGATGGATCAAACAAAGGCAAGTCTGAACAACTGTTTTTTTTAAAATATCTTCAGAGTTCACAGCTCTCAGTTCCAGTGGGAGACTTTTCTAAATATTAGGAGCAAAAACCTGAAAGGCACACTCTTCTTAAGATTCAAGTCTGATGTGAGGATCCATCATCAAGCCCTGATCAGAGGACCTCAGGGTCCTGCTGGTGTTGTACAGCTTCACAAGTTCTTGAATACAATTAGGTGCTTGTAAATACAAAATCACAAGAATTTCTAACTGGATTCTGTAATGAATGGGAAGCCAAAGACACAAAGACATGTGTAACATGAGACCTTTAAGATGATTTTACCAGCTGCTAAGCAGCAGCATTTTTTTATTTGTAGGCGGTTCAAGGTGAGATGCTAAGATGTATGAAAAGAGAGTTGCAGTAGCCTTAGCTCTGGACACATCAAGCCTGAGTTTAGCTATTTTTCTTAAATGGTGAAGTGAGGAGTATATCAAACATGCTGATAACAGAAATCATGTAAAACACATTTAAAAAAACATTTCAGGGTAAAATACCTACATTACTTTACAACATAATACAAAAAGAGGCATTCTAAAATGTTTACATCAGTAAGAATCAGTTCCCTCATTTCTGTAAGCAAAAACATATGAAATCTAGTCCAATTTGTCTAGCAGCTGGCGAATGTCTTCTTGGCCTCTGTAGATTCTCTTCATTCCTCTTGGAAGATAACGGCATGATGAAAGGTTGAGGTAGTTAAGAGAAGTCATCTGGCCAATGACTGACCTAAAAAAACAAACATTTTTATTTGGGAAATCTTTGGAAAAAACCCCTACAGAACTAAGGTTTAGAATATTTTACTGATTGATTCTCAGGGCGCACTAGGCAATCCGTACCATGCCCAAGCACGCTTCACCCTCAACCTATTGTTTGAATAGTGAGTGCTCCGATCTGTACACTTCCTTGGTACGCTTGGAAGGTGTGCTTTGGCACGGTACAGTTCATGCACAAGCACAGCACGGGTACACGTGGACAGCCTTCATTATGGAGGAATCCCAGAGTGTTCTGGCTGTATCTGACTAAAATGACTCAAAATAAGCCACAAAGTCAGTGAAGTAACTGTCTAGTTCTTTATGTTGTTCTCTTTATGTTGTCCGGACGCGGATTCTTTCTTTGACATTTTTTCATTTTTTGAGTCTGTCTTTCTTGTAAACTGAGCACGCTTCATGATAACGTAAAGCCGTGCAAGTGTTGTATAACGGCGTATGTACAAGAGGTAACCATGCTCAGGCCCAGTTAGTCCTGGAGCAGTGTGAGTGCAGCCCAGCGGGGGAATCAAAATATCTAAATGAGGAGCAATCGTTGCTTCAGCATAGTATGGGACAACTGGGCCTAGTGTGAGTGCTCCCTCGCTCAGTTCCGTCTAGTCAACTTGTCAGTGAATTACTTTTAGATTTCTTTTTGACAAGTCAAGTTAAGGAGATGACTTTGCATTAAATACCTGAGTGCAGGGGGCGTGATCCTGGTCCCACTCAGGTTGAGTGAACGCAGCGTGTCTGCCTCTGTTCCCCGACCAAAGTAGCTCATTGCTATCTCCAACTCCTCCTCAGTGAAGAGCTGATTTGCAATGTCAAGCTGTTGCAGTGTTCGACTCCACTTCTCTGTCACCATGTGAAGTCCTTTTTTAGTGGACGACGACCCAACGTTACTGGTGAAGTACTGTCCCCAGTAGAGACACTCAAGCTCTGCCAAACACAAACACAACAAAGAGGACGCAGTCATTTAATTGGGTTTTTGATGCAAACTTGGATCAATCAATCCAAATCCAAACACAGCTAGGTTTTAAATAAGTGTCTTCAAAATATGACCTAGACTTTTGTGTAACTGTGTGGTCCAAGAAAACGCAGCAAGATCAAATCATTCTACATCTCAAATTATTTTTTGGGTCTTTGTTGGTTACAAATAAAGAACAGTCAAACAAACACTTAAGTATCGGGCTCTTTCAAAATCAAACATAATTTACTTCATAAAATATAAAAAAATTGAAGTATATGTTGTAAGAAAGTCCTACCATCACAAGGCAGGGCTGCAAGACCGGAGGGTGTGATTCTCGAACAGCCTCGGAGGTCCAGCACGCGCAGCCTGGTGGAGCCAGAGAGAATGTCCCTCAGGTCTTTGTCGGTCATGTAGGAATAAGACGTGGTTGCGATACACATCTCCTCCAGCAACGGGAAGCCTAGCGTTGAATCGGCATCGTTGCGAAATGTCTTAAGCAGAGGTCTGACATTTAGCATCCGGAAGGTCTGACGGTGAGTATAAAGGATGAAGAACCGGATGGTGAACACGATAACCACTGATAGTTTACTGATTAATTACACAATCATACAACATAGACATGCAAAATATAAAGTTTCCCCATCACAAGAAAATAAATCATTTATGGTTGAAACTGCCCTCGTTGTATTACACTGCATGCGTAATGACCAGTTTCTTTATTAAAGGCAGGGTTGGTCATTTTCTAAAAACTAGCATGATTTTGAAAGTAGCCCTGTCTGCACCCACCCCCTCCCCTCTGTGCTCCCTCAAAAGCCACGCCCCCCACTTACATGCACGAGCGCCACATGGTGTAGAAACTACGTCGTCTCATGTCGCATTCAGCTTCAGTATAAACTCCGTCATCGGTGACGCGCTTTGAGTGTGGGCTAGTGCACGCAAGGGGTAGAGAACGAGCAGGGAGACAGGGAGCCGCCTGATTGGTTCATCAGATTGGTACCTCGTGGCAGACATTGGTTGAAGTTTTTACAGGCTTACAAACTGATACAGATGACGGATTTTCTTTGTTCCTTTTTCAGAGAACTTGAGTTATTAATTTCTGTAAGGACCTAAAGACAACTTCAACCAAAATCGGAAAAAGTCTATCTGGAGGAAATTACCAACCCTGCCTTTAAGCAGTGCTTCCACTTTGAAGCGGGGTCATTCTAGTACCAGATTTAAAAAAAACAACAACAACATGATCATACAATCATCATCTACTAGTCAAATGAACAGTAAGTCTTATAGGAAAAGGCAGATTGTTTTACCTTGAGGTTAGGGCATGCCATCTGAAGTGCCTGGATGTTGATATGAAGTTCACAGTCCTTACTGTCAAGTTTTGTGTTCACCTCCAACAACTCCAAATCCGGACAGAGTCCCCTCTGAAAACACACATACCATCTGTTGTGTATAAAGTTCACCATGTGCTCTGTCACATTAGCTCAGTACACAGTAACATCAATAAAACCTGTAGCGGCGTTCCTGAATATGAAGCTGCTGAGAGGCTAAGGTTGGGCTTAATATATTTGTCAGACGCGCGTTCAAAAGAATACTGTGATACGTAAAAATAAGTTTGCCTTTTTTTTTTACGTAAAAAAAATAATCAACTTAACTTATAATAACGTGCATTAACTCATAATTACAGTGAACCAGAAACAATAGCGGTCAACATAAAAAATACGGCAACGCAGCTCACCCCCTCTCTTCCACTGAGAACAAAAAATGAACAGGTGAGTTAAATCAACACATCTCCGCCCATACCCATGTGACCCGACATCCCCCCCACTCAACACAATAGTAATACATGATATAATAATCAATAACCCAAAACACCAATATATAACAGACTACCTTAACCTTAAATAAATACCACAAAGACAATTATGTCAATCCATGGCTCCAACAAAACCCATGAAGAAAAAGAAGAGGGCGGGGCTTACTGTGACGGCAGCCAGGACTCTGTTATAACTTATTCCATGAGTGTACAGCATTTGCTTGATCTGGCTCCCATGGCTTTCCAGGAACTCCAGGAATCCTTCAACCTGAAACTAAAGTGAGAAGCAGGTTATGTATTTTATTGTAAGTTGATAATGAACACCTGTTGGGGATAGCTGGCTGTTGCTAGTGTATCAAAAGAAACAATAACAAGCCATACGTTATAAATCTCTTAATAATCCTTTTTACTTCATTTGCAGAATTACAAGTGTTACACATTTTGTCATTGCTTTTATCATCGTATTAACACAGGGAGCGCAGTCTTTCAATAGAAATTGCACTGCTCTGATTGGTCCAGTCTCTATGAATGAGAGCTGACTAGCTGACAGGGAGTCTGTGGCTCAGTGGGTAGAGTCTTCGTCTGTAAACCGCAAATTCGAGGGTTCAATCCTCAGCTCCTGCAGCAACATGTCCGCTCTTGTCCTTGGGCAAAACACTTAACCCCAAGTTGCTCCCGCAGCTTCGTTGGCGGCTCATGAATGGGATTAGTTACTTCTAAAGGTCTCACTACATATCACTGCCATCAGTGTGTGAATGGGTTGGTTTAAAGGTTTAAAGGTTTAAAGTTCACTGAAGATAATAAACTTTTGGGGACATCTTTTTAATTAATGAGTGCAAAATCTCCATCAAAAACTAAACCCCTGCTAAGCCTGGTTCCTGACTTACCTCTGAATATTGAAGATTGATGCTCTGCAGAGACCGGCTGTGCAGACTGAGGCTGTGGAAGGCGTCCCCCGTCAGGCCCGTACAGTACGAGAGCGTGAGGGAGCGGAGGTGGGGCGAGTTCTGCGACACCGTCTAAAATTGATGACAACATGAAACGAAAAAAAAAAAACATTTGGTTGATCAACATGTGTTGAGATGTTTAACTCCTCATTTTGGAAAAATGCAAACAACTTTCAGGGAATCTTTTGCAAAAAGAAGAAACATACAGACGACTCGTACTTTCACCCTCGCTCATATTTTATACAAAGACGGATCTCGTCTCTCAGATTCACTCATTATACTGTAATCCGTTTTGTATGAAATAAAACTGAACTTCTGTTCAATGTTGTAATTGGCAAATAGCATTATATTAGAAAAGAAGAATAAAGGTTGGGATGACTGACCTCGACTGCATAGTTAACGTTTTTTTTCCAGTGATAGAGAGAGAAGTCTCGAAGCTGGGAGAATCTGGAAAACAAGAAATAAAAGGATTTTTTTTTAAAAACCTGAAAATATCAGTTCACATAATGTATATTTTTAACTAATACAACCAAACCTGTTCTGTGACAGCCAGGTAAGGGTTCCCTTGATCCTCTTCTCAGTGGTTGGTTGTTGGCTTTTCCCAGGTGCGATCCAGCAGTGACCTATAGTGACCTTTCTCCACAGGGCAGGACTGGAGGCAGCGGCATTCCACAGATGACAAACTCTCCCCACCCTGACCAAATTATTAACAAATACAACGATCAGGAGTTGAAGAAAAGAACACAACAGCTATTTTAATTGCTTATCTTAATGTGAAAAATATCTGCAGAATCTTATGGAGGTTTAATGTGATAAAAAAAATTTAAAAAAAATTTAAAAAAACTATTTTTTTCCCGCAAGTGTTCAATAGCGATTTTGGAATATAGAATTTCTTTTACTAGCACGTTTCAGCTGGGTGAACCAACAGTATTAATGAAATAAAGGATCTGTATGCTCATAATATGAATCTATGTTTGAAGAATTTGCTTATTGCAGTCAAAGCGAATCAAAACAAACGTGCGTTCATTACCTGCATAGAAATGGTACAGCACCGTCTTGGGTGACCACGAATTGAAAAATGTTGATGAGCACCTCCTCAGGAACACTTTGACCCCACCTGTGGTCCATAGCATCTTGAGGCACAAAGAACGTAACGTCTGTTTTTTCTGTCTTTTCAACGGGCACAGCCACCAGTTTAGGCTTGGGAGCACGAACGGTCTTTTTTCTCACACTCTGCCCAGCTTTACTTTTTCCTTTCGCTAGCTTTTTCTTTTTGCTGCCCTTCTTTGGGGGCTTCCAGGCAGAGCCCTCATACTGAGAGGTTGTACTCGATATGACAAAAAGCATGTCTTCCCCTTGTTCCACTCTGTAGCCAGGCTGGGAGACCCTGGGCTTTTTTCGCTTTTTGGATTTTGCATTTTTGGGCTCACCGGTGGTCCTCTTCAAAGACGCTTTCTTTGGCTTTGGTGCGTCTTGTCCATGGCCTGATGTTTTTGATGTGCTCGGTGCCGTGTCCTCTCTGCTGTCACTGCTTGGTAAAGGCTGCGTTTCAGAGGAATCCATTGCATGCTGCTACCTAGCCGAGTTTATCACGAGTTTTGAAGTGACGGATGAGCATCTGAAAGAAGAATCAGAAGATGATCTATTTGTATCTGTGCAGGAGAATAAATCTCTCCAGCGTTGATAGGAAATGTCAACAGTGGAATAAAAGAAATTAAACTCAACAGATCAAACTATAAAACCTAGTTTATTAGTTTAAGTCCATCAGGACAAAGTTCATCTTATTTGATATGCACTTAAATCTCATGCCGGTGTCACATTATGAATTTAATTCTGCTTTTATCTGCAATTTTTTTTGTAAAAGACGCACAAAGCTAAGACTTAAAAGCAACATTAGAGCTCCACTTTTATTTTTCAGCAGTATTGGTATTCAGCCATCGAACATAAATCAATTATTTTAAACAATGTAAACAGTTAAAAAAACAAAGTCGACAAAGAAGTGACTGAACAGACACTGGCAGGAGCAGACAGCTTATAAAAGCCTGTCCTACATTCTCACCAAATTAAGCTTCCAGAAGAATAAAGACAAACAACAACAGACAAATTCACATTTATAATCCTTCCTTAGCTGTGCAAAGCATTTTAAAAAACACAAACAGAGCCCCTTAAGTCCGAAAAGTAAAAAACAAAACAAAAAAAAACATATTCTGGGCACAATATTCTAACCCAGCGCACAGGATTTTAATTTTCATAACTTTTTGGGACTTCAGGTGTTCCTACTATTCCATAAATTAACCCCAACTATTGAAACACATCCCCTTTAAAAACCTGTTTTTGCATTTTGCACAATAAACTTACAAACTTTTTTAAATCATATTTGCTCTGCCGGATTGAAAACAACTTTTGTATACAGTCTAGGTGTGAATTTAACTTTGCTCTAATCATTATTTACATTATTTTTGTAAAAAATAAATAAAAAAATCATTGAATTTCATAATAAAGTCTATGGAGGATTTGTGTGTGCATAAAAATGACTTTGTTACTTAAACCCATAAGGAATAAAATAAGCATATATTTATCAATAACCATCATAGAAATACAAGTTATGGATTTATGTGGCATCAATCACAAGCAAGCCTCTTAACTCATAGAAGCACAAAATGTTAAACTGCTTTGTTACATTACTTCGATCAAACTGCCTGCACTGTTACAATCAAGTCCTCAATAAATCATGCAATATCAAAGGCAGGAAAAAAATGCATAACAACTGTTTCTACGTTGACAACTCGTGATATATTTACACTCTTCTTTCTAAATCAAAAAATGGCACTTTGTATTGTTTGTTGTTAGATTACATTACCTGCTGCTAGTTCCTGAAAACGGCTAGCCTTGCAGCCCCACAATGCATTTCAACCCCCCTCTGTGATTGGTGGACACTTCAGAAAGGGGCCCGCCTTTTTGTACAACCGTCCAATCCGCGGACCCAGCCAACTGTATCGCCTCTGTTGCCAAGTTGCATTCACGTGGTGTCGGACACATGGGAAAAACGAGATTCCGAGTTGTAAAATGAACTGCTCAAGTCGGAAACTCGGGAAAGAGTTTAAAGTGCTTAACGTCAGAATCGTCATCACACGAGGGGGAAAATATGTTTTATTAATGTTAACATGCTTTTTATGAATTCACGTATCGTACATCAACTTTCTGCTCAAATATAACTTTAAACAGTTACATTTCACACATCTTCTTCGTAGCATTCACGCTTTTTTTTGTGCTGTTTTTACAACATTCAGACTTTCCGAACTTAAAATCACATGAACACACTGAAGTCGGAAGAACGACTTCACATCTCGGACACTTGGATTATCCGAGGAGCACCTGAACGCAGCATTTAGCTAGTCTGGGAAGCAGCGAGTGTGATGTTGTGGTCATGTGTGTTGTAGTCTCAAGGTAAGAATAGATGACTTTGTGAATTTACTTTTGAACTTCTGCTTTAAAAATATTAATTTAGGTATTCTTCAGCTCTACTCTGTTAGTTATGGAAGTTTAGTTTGCCGTATTTCCTGCAGTAAAAGTGAATGCTAACACAGAGCTAACATTAGCATGCAGTGCTGTGCAGATGCTTGTGTTCCCTAAAGTCCTACTTATTGTTTGAGACAGTACACCACATATTTTAATGTATATCAAATTGTTATGGGCAAGATAGGGGGAAAAGGTCCACGCTTTTTACATCAATGAAAGTTAACATAAGTTAAAAAGTTAACAAAGTGCATTAGTATGTGATTTATCTTCCTCAAATCTATAACTTAAACAACATTTTGTCTTTTTCAGGAGTGACAGATCGACTCTTCCTGGCATTTTTCTGCAGAGGTGAATCCAACAACACTGACGGTGTGACATATTGCTTTTGCATTTTTTAAAATCTGCTTTGCTTCATGTTTGCACAACAGCAACATGTCTCATCTGAAGCCAAAAAAGCATTTTTTTTAAATACTAAATTTGCAAAAATCAATCTGAAGGTTGCTAAAAGTTCGCTTGGGGTTGGGGGTGCCTAGTGGTTAGTGCGTACATCCCATGTACAGAGGCCGGGGGGTTCTCCAAGCGGGTGGCCAGGGTTCGAATCTGACCTGTGTGGGTCCTTTACCGCATGTCATTCCCCTCTCTGTTTCCACTTTTCTGTCTCTAAAACAAAGGCATAGAAAATCTTTAAAAAATCCTCATGTTGGGGCGCTGGTGGCGCAGTGGTTAGTGCGCGCGTCCCACGTATGGAGGCTGTAGTCCCCAACGCGGGCGGCCCGGGTTTGAATCCAGCCTGTGGCTCCTTTCCTGCATGTCATTCCCCACTCTCTCGCTCTCTCCCTGATTTCCACCTCTATCCACTGTCCTATCTCTCCATTAAAGGCACAAAAGCCCAAAAATAAATCTTTAAAAAGTCCACATGTTGGTGAAGCTTAGTCTGCAGGTCAAATGTGCACAAACTGAGAGAGCAATAACTTCTTCTTTAAAATGTATATATATATATATATTGTGATAAATTCACACTCTTCCAATGTGTTTATTGTGGATGCTCATATTGCAGTTGTGATAAATTGTGCAGGCCCATTTCATTCCCTTAAATGTATGGAAGTCAGCCTTCATTTTAAAAGTGATAATGCATTTTTTTTTTAGAAACATAAATCAGACTTAAACTTCACACGTCAAATGACAGCACAACTTTAAAGGTAGACAACACACTGATCCCTTTTGGAAATAGCGATATTTTGTTCCTTCCCGTTGACGTACCCTTTCTCCTGTGACTGTTAATGTTTCTATTTGCTGAGATTAATAACTTTCTGACTGTCTGACTCTCTTTATGAACAGACCACTATGGAGGAGTATGACAACTTCACCCTCTGTGGGAAAGCAGCTGTCACTGAAGCTAATCTGAGTGAGTAAATTAGAAGTGTGTTAAATGTTATTAAGATGACTACATTGCTTAATTCTTTATATACAATCCATTGCTTATCGGCTCACTTTATCCCTTTTCTATTTTCAGGAGATGAGTACTATTGGAAGCTTGTTGCAGACTTCATCGGTGCTCAATCAGGAGAGGGATTAGAGCTGGAAACAGAACCATGCAAGAACAGAGTTTTGATTCAAGTAGGACTGTTGAGAGAGGACAATAATTTCCCCTGGATTGCCATCGTAGCGTGGCTCAAGAAAATTTTCCCGCGCCATCAGTCGGCTGACTTTCGCCGTTTGATTGAGAGAGGCGTCGCGACGACGTTGAGTCTGGGAAGCGATGCGAGGCTCACCTTCTTGGAATCTGGCGTCAACTTCAGCTTCGTTGGCCCGATATGCGACAGCATCGGAGTCGAACGAGAACATCTTTTGGAAATGAGGGATTTTTCAGAGCAAGCCCAGCTAATTGAGGTCACGAATGGATTGATTCTAGAGCTGAGCAACTTTGTCGTCAGGGAAAAAATTGCGCCCGTCGTAATAGTTCCTTGGCTTAGAAACTTCAATCCTGAGTTTTGTAAGAGGGGGAATATTCGAGGTGCGTATTCAGTGCTAAGAGGCAGGATAAAAAAGTTAAAACACCACTGCTGCAATTCTGAAACGAGAAGTAACAGGAGGAATGCGGTGTTGGAAAATCTCCTCCAAAGTCCATTCGAACTGGTGCCGAAAAAAACACCTGCATTTATCGTAAAGAAACGTATGAGAAGAGAGCCCGGCATGAATCCTGAAAAGGTTACAATAAAGGAGGAAAACGAGAGCCATGAAATCTCGCAAGAAGACGGATCTGACATGAACAGAGGAGAGCATGTTTCTGAAAGTGGTGAAAGCGACGGCGACACGGATGCAGCCATGAGTGACGAGGATACGTACGACACAGACGAGGCCTCCAGCCTGCTCGACATCACGATGCTGTCGGTGGAAAAGCTTCGGCGCAAGTACGGCAAGGAAACACAAGCATGCAAGAAACTCTCCTTAGACCTCCTGAAAAATCAGTACACTCTGACATGCAAGGAGCACCCGGCCCTGGCCGAGTTCGATAAAACACTCACCTCCCTGTGTGGAGACATTTCGCTCGCCTCTCCCGTGGTGTTCATACACTACAACGCCCATTTCCTCGTTGACTTGTATGAAAGTGTTGAGGAGCAGATTATGAGCTTCGAGAGAGAGATTATTTTATCCACGGGAGAGAAGCTCGGCCGGGACAAGCTTCCAAAGTTTCAGAACTTTGTGAATGTTTCAGAAAGTGCAACTTCACGGTTCATTCATATGGCTTGTGATATCCTGAGCCCTCGCTCGTCTGACGTGCAAAACTACAGAAAGCACTGGATAGCTTTCTGCGAGGAGAAGAGGAATCCATCCAGGCTCGCGATGACTCAATCAAACAGAATTAATAACTACTTCAAAGCTGCAGCGGGTCTTATTCACCATCACAAAGAGATCGCTCTCTTCATCTCTGATCTGCTGTCATTGGACGACGACAAATGTCAGAATGTTATTCTGGAGAGTGTCGCTGCTGACGCCAACGACCCCGTGATACAGAGCCTCGTGTGCGTCCTGGCCATCGTGCACTGTAAAATCCTCGGGCCTTACTGGCAGCTCCTGAAAAGCGGGGGGGAATACTCGCTGTACAGTCAGAACATGCTCCGTCTTTACCAAAAGTTCCTCGACTGGTCCAAAGATCCCGCAACTCTGCTGGAACCTGAAGAGGCCACGAATTGTTTCCTGCAGTTCCCGTTGCAGGAGAAAACCTTCAGTGGCGTGTTTCATTACTGCGGCCAGTGGCACACAAACAGGGACATGATCAGAGCTTTCCTGAAGAGGATAGTGAAGGCGATCGCTGCCGTCACCGATGAACACCTGAGGGCTTTCTTGCCAGGAGGAACATTCGCAGAGGTCCCCCCTCCAGATTTGAGCGTACAGCTTGTTAGCTGCACATTCTCCGTCCTGATGGCGGAGTATCCCTTCAGCGGACAGAGCCCTTCCAAGAAGAGGAAACCAGAGGAGGACATGGAGTGGTCATCGGATAGCTCTCAGGAAGACAATGACGGATCTGAGTCCTCAGACAACGGTGACGATAAAGCATCCAGTTTGCAAGTTGTAAAGAAAGTGACGAAAATAGTAGAAAAGGCAGAAAAAGAACCAAAAGAGGAGTTTGAGGAGAACATGGACAGGGATTACATCATAGATACTGCAACCAGAAATGGAGGGCCGTGCAAGACGCAGTGGGATGTTGATAAATTGATGCTGCGTTTTGACGGAAAGTCCCGAGCTGAGAAACGCGAAGGAATCCGCTGCGAGATTCTTTACCAGAAAATGATCCTGAACAACCCGGACCCTCGCCTTGATTGTTTTCACGAGAACAGCACAATGATGGCAATGAAGCTGAAGAAGGTGCTCCCACGCGTGCAACCCGGATACTCGCTTGTTTGGGCCCCCAGAAAGACGAAAGTGAAGGCCGTGCCCCAAGACACAACGGTTGCAGCGATAGAGCCGAGTGAAAGCAGCGTTACATCATCGCTATGAGGGCATCGAAAATTAAGTTAGCATGTGACTTTATCATATGATTCTGTTTACAAACTGTACAGAAACACACACGATGACCTCAATCCTACCACACAGATACTAAATTATGCAAGATTCTGTTTATGCCAGATGCAGCTGCCAAGAGAGGAAATCATGACTGTATTCCCTTTAATGCATCATTTTGTATTATATTAATACTTTTCAAGAAATGTACGTTTGTGTTGTTGAAGAATACCCTTTTTTATTTTAGATTGTACCTATTTTGATCATGTGACAATATTCATAGCTGAATGTAAGAGTGTGTGGCCTCTAACAAAATAAACATCTTTGTTCATATTTTTATTGATATTTACTTTTTAAAAATTGACCCAGTTTAAGTGCAAGTTCATGACCGTTTTCTT